TATCGGTACAGGAAGAACAGTGCAGCCAGAGTTTCACGGAAAGCCATGACAGACCACGACGAGACCCAAGCCTGGTCGGCGGAGGCCGGCTGCCAGCATTAGCAATCTTGGGTCTTCCACTATCGAATGCTGCCCAGGATGCATGGGATGATGATCTTGCGGTGGTGCCGGCGAGCTCTGACTCCTTGAGGCGGACATCTCCAAGATTTGCTCATCCGTTCCTGCGGTTTAGTTCCTGGGCAGGACGACTGAAGAAAGCGTCGAGACGGAGACGCCGACGGCCACGGAGCAGGATGAGGTATGACCCATCGTCAGCGTTATAATTCCTCATCTGTCATTTCGCAGGACGGCGACTGGCTGATGCCTCTGCATGAGATGGAGGTGTACTCCTTACTCTATGAGTTTTGAAGCATACGGGCTTCTGTGTGACTTTTGTGCGATCAGGCCATCCGGGATGCGCCTACTCCTGCGTGGTCTGACAGCAAGCTTCTTGATGCAATGGTTTCTGCCCGACCATTAAAAGTAATCATCTCAGGGTGTCTTTAAAATTTGCTTGCCCAGGCCAAAGCCAGAAGCTGGTGATGAGCCAGCCTGGAAGGCAACTCTTCCTATCATGGTCAATTTTCCTGTGCTACAAAATCCATCCGTGTGTGCAGGTCCCACTTGTGGCGGAAAATGCGCGGGAGCTTGATATCTACAATCACTCCGTGCAGTGGACTTGGGCTGATCCTGGGGATCCAGGGAATGAGTGGAGGCCTCGGGATGCTCTGGCAAACCCAGAGGAGGAGGATGATGAAATGGAGGAGGCAGCTGAGGAGGAAGGATGGGAAGAAGAGGATCCCTGTGTCGACGACCTTGTGTCGGAGAAGGCCCTCGCGATCCTGGCTGAGGGCAAGGTGGGGTACCTAAGCTTTAAACATAAGACAGATCAGTTAGAGCGTGAGAGAAAGAGAGAAGATATCTATTTGAGTCCTTTGTTGCAGGCTGATTCGAGCAAGCCTGTGGATGGCAGTGCTGAGGTTGGCCAGTTGTCTTGGAATCGAATGTGTGTCTGCTTTTTGCAAATTATCCTCCCATGGAGCAGTGCAGGTGCAACGGCAATGGGGAGCCCATTCCGAGGCTGGGGAAGTGCCGTTCCTTGCACCTCATGAAGGCTTAAGCTGCTTTTTATGTTGCTCTGCAGGATGATTGGATGCAGGGCAATCATG